TAATTTTTCAGTATGTTCTTAAGAAGCCACAGCTGATAAAATACTACACCAAAACAAACATTAATATTTATCAACTTAGAGATGAGGATTAGTTAACTGGCCTGTCTTTGGTTGATTGAACCTTATTTGATTGATTGCCTACTTTTGTGACATGTAGGTATAATACTAGTTACATGAGATAAGACACACACCACTAGTTGGAAAAACTAACAATTTGAACACTGTGAAGCCTTCCTGCGGACACACAAGCAAATGTCACTAGTCAGCTTGGATTGCAATTATCTGAAATATGAACAACCGAGTGAATTAAAGAGTTTAATTAAGCTTGCCACGGGATTTCTTTTTAATGGGTGTACGTGACCCTGGGTACACAAACACCCACTGGTTTAACAAGAAAACAAGTAGCAGTCAAGGGGATCTTTCTTGTTCAGAACACTGGGAGATGTGGACTAGTGGGGGCAGAAGCTGGGACAGAAATGGTCAGACAGTGCCACAGAATCACAAGCTGCGCTCCCCCCTCCCCGTGTGTGTGTGTGCCTGCGAGCGCACACTGTGCTCTCGGGGGCTTTCAGGTCATGTGTGTGTGTGTGTGCTATGCTCTCTGGGGATTCTCAGATCATGCGTGTCTGTGTGTATCTGTGCTGTGCCCTCTAGAAGCTCTCAGGTCATATGTGTCTATGTGTGTCTGTGTGTTGTGTTCTCTAGGCTCTTAGGTCATGTGTGTGTGTGTGCTGTGTTCTCTGGGCTCTCGGGTCATATGTGTCTATGTGTGTCTGTGTGCTTGTACTCTCTGGGGCTCTCAGGTCGTGTGTGTGTGTGTGTGTGTGTGTGTTTGCGCGCGCGCACGCGATGTGTTCTCTGGGCTCTCGGGTCATGCTCACTCCTTTCTCCTCACTGTTTCTCTTGGCAAATTAGAAAGATGGAGTGTGGTGGCTATAAAATAGAAAAGAGACCCATGATGCTAACTTTTTTTTTTATAATGATACAAAAATAGAAATTTTACAGTTTCCCCTTTTTACGACTTTGAAGGCAAAGAGGAAGAGAGTGCAGTAAGAATCAAGGTAATATGATTTGCACAGATTGTACCTGGTGAACCTAAACGGGTGATTTCTTATTTATTTAGATCAAAATCTGAGACAAGCAGTGCAACACCGATGAGCAGGTGAGTACGTTAAGAAAGGTTCTTAAAATAAACACACTTGAAGTGGCAGCAGGCATCCATGCTTGGTTAAATCGCAAGCATTGGCTTGTCGAGGAGCAGCTGAACAATTAGATCAATAAGTGAGCTAGATTTATATTTACGAATATTGTTATTGCTAACGAATATACAGACCTAGAGTTGCTGTTGCCAATGAATTGTGTAAAGAATTTAGTATGTTTTATTCAGCTTAGAAATAGTCTAAGTGCTCTGGGACCTGCTCTTATCATTAGAACGGAGCTGAGGACTTGAACCTAGTAAAATCTAAGGATACATAAATTGGTTAATGAAGCAAAATCATAGATCCTTCTGTCTGTTAGGCACCAGAGGTGGTAGCATTTATGACTCGTGAGGTTTTAGAGGTCAAAGAATTCACTTAGGACACAGGTGTGGTTGTATATGTCTGCAACCCAGCAGTTCTCAACCTTCCTGATGCTGTGACCCTTTAACACAGTGCTTCATGCTGCGGTGACCCCCGACCGTTAAAAGTATTGTCATTGCTACTTCATAACTGTAATGTTGCTGCTGTTATCAATCATAATGTAAATACCTGATATGCAAGGTGTCTGATATTTGACCTTTGGGGAAAGGTTTGTTTGACCCCAAAGAGGTCAAGACCAGCAGGTTGAGAACCACTGCTAACCCCTGCATTTGGGAAGACGAGGTGGGGAAGAGTAGGAGTTAGAGGTCAGTTTGGTCTAAGTGACTCTCCAAAAAGTTGGCTATGTGGTCCTACCCTTCTCTTAAGCATAAGGTTACCCAATACCAAGTGGTCTTCACATCATGTGTGTGCAATTCACATCATGTGTGTGCAAGCGACACTGAATGGACTCAGCAGGTTGTGTTTTTATACTTACTCACATACACACATAACAACAGTAACTCAAGAAGAGGAGGCCAGGGATTTGAGAGGACACAAGGGGGCTTGGCACGGTAGGAGTTGAAGAAAGAAAGAGAATAGAAGGAAACTGTGTAATTATATTTTAATAGTAAAGAACAGTAAGACAGCTCAGGGTGTCACAAGTCTGTAATCTCAACACTCAGGAGGTGGAATCGGGGAGGTTCAGGGGCTCACAGTCATCCTCTGTCACTTAATGTGTTCAAGGTCATCCCGGACTACACGAGAACCAACTTCAACAGAATAAATAAAGGCTTAGAGCATGGCTGATAACACGAAAGGCAGAAAGATACAGAAAAAAAAAGTATTTAAAATTTAAAAGTAGATATAGTAACATACATATCTCATTGTATCTGAAATGTGTAAATACTACTTCATTATAAGCATCTCTGATTCAAAAGAAAAAATTCCAGAAAATGAGTATGAGCCAGTTACTTGTGGCCAAAACAATGCAACGAGCATACGAAAACTCTGTTTCAGAAACTCCGTCCACTGGCACGCAAGTGAGCGAGCACACTTTCTCGTAGCAGTCCCTTTTGTACTTTCACTGGGACTGTGTTTGGAGCTGCTATCCTGAACTTTGTTTTCTTCTTTCCTGCAGTTAATTGCTACCCCTTCAGGATGAAGAGGATTATACCCAGGGGCTCACTGAGAGATGAAGAGTCCACGTTCTTCCCTCAGTGGAAGCTAAAGGAACTAATAAACCAAAAGTGGACCAATTTGCAGGCTTGCTGATCTGTTTAGTGTGTGTGTGTGTGTGTGTGTGTGTGTGTGTGTGTGTGTGTTTGCATGCCATTTCCTGTATCTTGGCATTTAGCCCATTGGCCAGTATAGTTGGTTGGGGTGCCCTGGGGTGGTGGGGGTATGCGGGAAGTCAGTGGTGTCAACTATGGGTCTTCTTCAGCGACTCTCTGAACTCTTCCTGTTACTCTCTGCATCCCACCTCCAACATACACACACATACACACACTTTGCAGCCTAGCCTCCTGGGTCAAATACCCGAATCAGAGCCATCCTGGGTGTGTACCCTGTATCCCTGGCCTTGGATAGGAAGAAACAAGATTCACTTCTCTGCTTCCTGGTTGTAGGTTCAATACCATACCTTCTTTACTGTGGTGGACTGTTACACCCCGCCCCCCCCGACTGTGAGCCAAATTAAATCTCCCCCCTGCCCCTTTTCATAAATCACTTTTGTCAGGTATTCTGTCAAAACAATGAGCAAGGTAACTGATACAGGTGCCCGCTTCTCAGCAAGGCCCAGACTTGCAGTTTCAGGTATCCACACAAGAAGACAAGCTTCAGAAATTGCCTAATCAGACCAATCCAGTTGCTAGGAACCTAGGGACATGGACAAGAATGGTAGGTGCCCAGGAGCCTCCTCACCTGTGAGTAGCCAAGGCTGCAGACTGTGCTATGTGACATACCGGAAAAGATCTAGAGTCTCTTGAAGAGACTTGTTTCCGGGCATGTCTGTGAGGGATTATCTAGATCATGGTAACAGAGATGAGAAGATCAGCCATAAATGCCTCTGGTGTTGGAATGTTTCTCTCCAGTGTGCTTGGGAGTGTGGGGTATCATGTAGAGCGAGTTTGCAAAGACTTCAGGCGGCTCCAGCTGATTCATACTTCTTAAGGAGTAGTGACTGGGTGGGGGTCGGGGAGGAGCCATATTGGTTCTCGACAAGTAGCAAGAAGACTGTTGACTACAACGATAAAGAATTTTTGTTTATGGAACCAATTCATTTTTAATAACGTTTCCACAAGTGTCAGAGTTCGGTTCTCATGTGAACCAAATAAGCTGCCGTCATTACGAAGTTTATCTCTGTCTAACAATTTAGACTTCCGGAAGCCCTCTACCCTCAGGAACTTCCTTTTCTCCTGAATGGTCCTTCAGAGTCCAAGGCTAGCCCCCCCTCTTGGCTGTTTGGTAAGAACTGCAATGAGGGTGGGGTTATAGGAGAAAGAAGCCCTTCTCCTCCTCTTCCTCCTCCTCCTCCTCCTCTTCCTCCTCTTCCTCCTCTTCCTCTTCTTCCTCTTCCTCCTCCTCTTTTTCCTCCTCTTCTTCTAATTATTCACTTTGCCACCACTCACTGCCCCCCTCCCAGTCACCCCCTCTCACAATCCTTCCCCTATCCTTCTCTCCTTCTCCTCTGAGCTGTTGAGGGTCTCCCTGGGTATCCTACCTCCCTCCCCCTTCTGCCCTGCAAGTATCTATGAGGCTAGGCATTTTCTCTCCCACTGAGAACATAAAAAGGCAGCTCAGCTAAAAGAACATATCTCACATACGGGCAACAGCTTTTGGGATAGCCCCAGCTCCAGTTGTTTGGGACCCATATGAATACCAAGCTGCACAACTGCTACATATGTGTGTGGGCAGGCCTAGGTCTGTCCTGTGTATGTTCTTTGGTTGGTGGTTCAGACTCTCAGAGCCCCCAAGGGTCCAGATTAGTTGACTCTTTTGGTCTTCGTGTGGAGTTTTTATCTTTTTTAGGGACCCCAATCCTTCCTCTTATTCTTCTATAAGAGTCTCTAAGCTCCATCTACTTTTTGGCTTTGGGTGTCTGTATCTGTCGGAATCAGTTACTGGATGGAGCCTCTCAGAGGGAGGGGCCTTTCTTAAAGGGCCCAGTCCCTTTTGTCTATATTGGCCAAAATCTGTCATGACTTCCTTTATTCACCCCTCTCAGAGATCAACACTGACCACTATAGGAGATGTTGGTGATGACTGATCTGGTTACTTCCTGTGAAAGAGGGATAGTTTAGGGAGTCAACCAGAAAGAGACAGATGAGTCCCCAAGGTCAGGAAGGTCTCTCAGGCCAGTCAAGAGGAAGGACTGTCTTTGAATTCAGTTGGTTGTGCAGACCTAGGGTGCCAGAGAGCCATTACACGTGTAACTCAGACCAGGTAACTACTGTAGTCTATGAAGAGTGAAATCATTAGAACAATTATAACCCCTAGTGAGAACATGATTTAAACACACACACACACACACACACACACACACACACACACACACACACTTGGTGCAGTTTTGCCCTCATTTGAGTAGGAGAACAGACACGAAAACTACTCAACACCCTTCTCAGGCCTTGCCATGAACATCAATGAGGCATTTTCTTGCCACTGTTGTCCACTGCACGGTGCACATCACAGTGAAGGGTGTGCACTCAAAGGTTCAAAAAGCTCATTGGTCATCCTAGTTCAGAGGTCAGCCACCACGTGTCTCACCTGCCACCACCTCATGGGAAACACTAGAGACAAGTTAACAGAGGGAATACTCCCATACCATGATCAACATGTCTTATTCAGAGAGGAAAACTGGACCAGAATTAACTGTACAGGGAGCTGTAGAACATTCGGGCAAATGCTTAGAAATCCCACATGGAGGATCTATAATAGTAAATGCCACTTCCCATATACCAAAGGGACTTATTGGGGCCAAGTCTGGATGAAATCAGGGTCCCATTCTTATTGGGAAAAAGCCAAAAGATCACTCTTTCATAGATACAATCTGATTGGGGTATGGACAGATATAATCTCATTGGGTTCTGATTTTGTAGAACTGCCCTGTGATTTCCCACAGCCATGAGTATTCTGGACAACTGTACCCAATTTTGTGTTTGGTGACTGGAAATTTGAACATTTCACACAGTCAGGGAACATAGGTGTTAGAATACAATATGCCGTGTTACAGTTATAAGGGGCTGCCAGGAGCCATTTATTTTATGGACTACTCTTTAGTCACACCAAAGCTAACAGCAGTGGATTTCTTCAGTGAATTTGGAATTTCTTTAAAAAAGATGTTTCTCATCTTCCGTGCTCCTACCATCCAGTAAAGGTATCCACCCATACTAGTACCAAATGGATTTTAAGTCTCCCCAGTGCGTGTGTAAAATCTATTGGACATTTTCAGTCTCTGCGTGCAACAGTGGGGCAGGTGACAGCTATGGGACTAGTCATTTGACAGATGTTGAACCCTAAGCTATCTAAATTGAAAACCTCTGACATTGCTTTAACTGCAGACATTCTTTAATGTAGTTGTATGGAATTTTCCCTTTCCAGGTGGCGTTTAGTAGGGGGGATTTTAAAATTCTACCAGTATAGGGATTGAGACAGCCATAGATGACCATCAGCGGTGACTGTAAACTTCTAGAGAAACAAGACTGGATCTAATAAGTCCACTACAGCCTTGGAATGTTTGATAAGTGTTTCCCTTTCTAGGGACAGATGGGAGGGACAGGGGGAGGAGAAGAGAATTCATATTTAGGCTCACTCTTCCTCAACAAACCAATCCAAGAGGAGGCTGCAATATTTTTATTCCTTAATGTATTATTGATAGAAATACCATAAAAACAAACAACGAAGTTAAAAAAAAATCAAGCCAATAATGGAGCTAAACTTCTCAAAAGATGAAATACAGTTGAAGAAAATGTTCAATATCCTTAGTCATCAGGAAAACTCAAAACTACTTTGAGATTCTATCCTATACCAGTCAGAATGGCTAAGATCAAAAAACAAAAGCAAACCTAACCAACCAACCAACCAACCAACCAACCAACCGACCGACCAACCAAGGCAGGGAAAGGGGGCTATGTATTCATTGCTGGTGGAAGTCCAAATTGGTCAGCCACACAGAAATTAGTATAGAGATAACACATAGATAGACCTACCATATGATCCAGCTAGACCTATAGCCTACTGCAGAAATGCTTGGTTATCCTTGCTGCTCTAGTCATAATATCCAGGAGACAGATACAGCCTAGATGTCCATAAGCTAATGAAAGGAAAATGATAATGTGGTATATCTACTCAGTAGAATATTATTCAGATATTAAGAAAAAGCATTATAAAATTTTTAGGGAAATGGATGGAGCTGGAAACAATCATTCTGAGTGAGGTAACTTAGACCAAGGAAGATAAATAGCACATTTTTTTAAAAATCTCATTTTTGTAGGTTTCTCTACACAAAACAACCAGAAAAGCTTAGTGAGATGTGGACATGCTTGGTATTACTGCCATTTTAACAACAGTAAATACTGGAATCTGTTGAGCGTGGGATGTTTCCGCTTTATTGTATAGATATATAAATGTAGCTACTTTATAGCTACCACTTATTAACACACATTAGCTATACAACATACAGGATTTTATAGGAACCCCTTGGCCAGGGCCCATCCAAAGGTAATATCATTGTGTTGTTGAGGTCTGTTTTCCTCAGTCCTTTACTCATTTGTTTTCAGTGAGGTGATATAGCAGAGAGCCTATGCTGGTTACATGTACAACCCTGAGATGCTATGGTGATACCCAACAGAAACCACTAAGGAGAAAGCATTTATCCTGGACCATGGTTTCAAAATGTTTTGGTCCATGGAGTCTAAGGAAGAGTGGATGCTTCCCATGGTAGATGTGTATGTAGTAGCTGCTCATGTCATTATGGTCTTGAAGGGAGGAGGAGGTGGGAGAGAGTGGGCTCTACTCCCAACCTCCCTAATGCTGTGACCCTGTAATACAGTTCCTCATGTTGCGGTGACACCCCCCCCCACCAGACAATGATTTTGCTATTTCATAATTATAACTTTGCTACTGTTATGAGTCACAATGTAAATATCTGGTATGCAGGACATCTGATATTTGACCCCTGTGAAAGGGTCATTTGACCCCAAGGGGGCCGCAACCCGCGTGTTGCAGGAGAAAAGAGAGGAAATATCAGAGGCCAGGAAGAGCTCTCGAAGGCCCACCCTTCGTCATTGACTTTTGTCAGATAGACCCCACCATTTAAAGGCTCCAGAGCCTCTCTGAATAACCCTACCACATAAAGAGTAAGCATTCAAAATGTGAGACATCGGGGCCATTTCTGTTTCAAACTTCTCCAGAAGCTGTGCCCACGTGAGAGGCGCAGCGATGGCATCATTCAGTGATGGTGTGCACTAGAGGTTTTGCAGGCTCCCACATGGGACATTAGTTTTTCGATCCTGTTGGAAACATCAGGAACTTGAACAGACATAGGAATCTGACTAGGTCAACACAGGTCATGTTTCTCCAAACCATTAGGAATGCCAGACAAGTCATCTCACCTTTTAGGCTCAGGCCTGTTGGGAGGTCAGAAAGCACACCTCTTTCTCCTAATTTAAGGCTAACTTGAACTCTGTCTCCTAACTTTACATGTGCAGGCCAGTATTTTATCTCTGTCCTCTTTGCATATGTTTGTCATGGATGACCTCTTCAGTCACTAATCCATTAAACAACTGTGTCCATTGGACTCATTCTGTTCTGTGTGACTTTATGACTTGGTTGCTTGGTTCCTTTTAAAAGTGTGATGTTATTCTGTTACCATTCCTAACTCTTTTTTTTTTATCATGGCAAAGTAATTTCAAAACAAACTTATTAAACACATCCTTTCCAACAGAATTATAGTTAATGTGGGGTGTGGCTGGATTTTATTGTAATTATGATTTGGGATAGGGCCTGTGGACACTAGGAAATCACTATATTGCTTCTAGTACACGACTTAATTTGTTTTTGAGAATTTATTACATGAATTCTGTACTTACACTATTTGCACCTCTTCTGCCCTTCTGCTCCATCTAGTGCACCTACACACACACACACACACACACACACACATGTATGCATGTAATCTATAGGGTCTATTTAGTATTGCTTGCATGTGCATGTGCTTCAGACTGAGAATTTGGGGCTGAATAACCTGGTGATCCCTGGAGAAAACTGGTTCTTCAGCTCCCAGCAGCCTTTGAGTGTCTGGAGCTCTTCATTTAGGGACAAGGCTTATTAAAGTCCCCTCCATCAACACTATGGTAATGACTGCTGTCACTATGCAGGACTTGATTAGGTAATAGTATGCTGAGATTTCATGGATTCAGCTTCACCTGTCATGACTAGAGGACACTGTCTCATAGCAGGAGTCCTGGTTCTCTTGCTCTTACAAATTCTCTGCCCCCTTCCTCATGGCTTTCCCCGTTGGAGTATTGCAGATGTACCAGTTGTGTCTGAGCACCCACAGCCACTTATTCTCTGCATTTTGACCAGTTGTGGATTGCCAAGGACCAGCCTTGGAGGTACAGGATCTGAGAGGGGATTCTGAGAGAAGAGGTGTGTGAGAATGGCTGGGGGGGGGGCAAACTGGAAGTGAAATCATGGGGTTACAAGCTGATGGCCTATATTCTCCTGTAGACAGGTTTCCAGGTTGTTCTCTCTCCAGACAGCTCTCTCTTACAATTCTAAAAATTCTCTGGATAGCTAATCTCATACAGATCAAAAGCCCAGGCTTTTATTTACATATCAATTCGATCATTATCCTAGGTTCCCTTTTGATTATCCCATAAACCAGCATAGAGACATCAAGCACACGTTGCAAATGAATTCAGAGATCTGCCTGCCTTTGTAAACACAGACAATAAGCTATCTGGGTGGGATCCTGTCATGAGATTACCATTTTCACCATGCCTGGGCCCAAACTAGCTCTGTTCTAGGCTAAGGAATCTGTCTGCCTTTGTATCTTTCTGAGAAGCTGGCTCATAGTGCACCTGCCTCTGTTCTTTTAGGTCCATGAGGCCTCCCATATGATTCATATTGCATCCTTATATTTTGCATAGTTGAGAAATTATATAATTTTGAACACATATCTTCAGAGTTCTTTCCCATAGCCTTAAGAACTGTCCTGAGGATCTCAGCATTTACCAGTTTTTGCTAAGGACATAGACACACCATCACCTCCCTGGACCCACGCTGTCTTTGCTTATCGTGGAGTCATTAATCCTAACAGCAGGAGCATTCCCTGAAGGAGGAACATAAAAATATGTACATTATTATACAAACAAGCCTTATGCCCCCATCAACCATTGACACTTGTAGAGGCCCACGCTCTGATGGCTCTATTCCAGGGTGGGAACCATGTCACACTGTTCCTTGAGCTGGGCTCGGCAGTGGATCCCTATCACAGTCTCCATCTCTTGTCAAAAGAAGCTTCTTTGATGAGGGACGAGAGCTATACTTACCTGTGGGTATCAAGACGAGTATCTAGATGCACTTAGAAATTATATTGGTTTAGGAAAATTGCAGTATAGGTTCTTCTATTCTAGGGTCTATGGCCTCTTCAGCCATGGGTACTCAGCAAGGTTTATACAAAATTGACCAAGCTTGAACTTCTTCCTATTGAATGGGTCTTACATCTTCCTATTAGACAACTGTCCATTATCCCAAGATAAAAGTTCTGTACTTGCACTTGGGGGCTGTCTTGCCATGCTGGGCATTGTGGTTGCTCTTCTCCTTTGGGAGCTTACAGAGCACCGTCAGATACGATGAGAATCCGGCCTCAAGCTGGAGGCTTCCAGGGCAGATCTACGACAACAAGGCCTTGTGTTCAAAGTGTGGTGTTTTCAGCAATATGATCCTACCTTCAAGTCCTGCAAGGCAACTAAAGGCTTGGGCCCACTTGACCAAAAACTGCAAAGGAGGTTCTCCATTGCCTGATAATTGGGATTTTTTGGTAGCTTGTATCTCTTGGGGAGAGCATTATCACTCAGTGTGGTATAACTCCATTAAAAATAGCAAAAAGAGGTAAATATGCACATGTTATATATATATTTAAAGTTAGCTTATAAAATGTTTCCTGTAGCTATAAAAAAATTCTTAATGTATTTATCTTACCTTTTGTCTCCCTTCCCCAGTTAAGTTTCTTGTCCCCTCCTCTCATAGTACCTGTGTCCCATCATAGCCCTCCCTGGGGCTCCTTCCCTCCTCCCTCCATGGTTGCTTTTTGTTTTCCTGGCTTTTGTAATTACTTCAGTCTATGCCCACACCTTTAAAAGACCAACACAAGGAGAAACGTGGGGTTGCAGAATTAGAGGGTGACAACATGATCTTGCAGAGAATGTTTTAAAAGTCTGTGTTTGACCAACGAGTATCTTAGGCAGTTTCTTGTATGCAGCTGTGGAAAGTATAAGCCATGCTAGCAACATTTTATTGTTCTCAGTTGTTGGGACAGTATGCCGAAGTATCCTGGAAGATGTGTGGCTGCCGTCTACGTAACCTGAACATTTTCATACATCTTTTCCTCAGTGATGTGGAAATTATTTTTAAAAGACACGATAAATGATGCAAAGAAAATCCTTACCAACTCTCCCTAGCCTTAAGAGTAAACCTGTAGGCAGTCGCCTTCCTTTTTAAGGTCAAGAGGGATGGTTGGTGCTAGCAGCCTACGTGAATCTCTGTATCTCATTCTCCTGCCCTTTCTGCTCTGGTTTCCTTAGCGACAACCACTCAGGTTCAGGTGCGGGAGCTTCCGTTACTGGTCACAACGCCAGCCCACCTGGCCTGATACTAAGCTCCAGGACCATCAAGGGAGCCATGTTCCTCCTTCTTTTGCTGGTTATGCATCTTAATGGGCTGCAGGCAGGCCAGAGTGAGTACAGAGATGGAAGCTGCTCCCAGCTTTCGGCTTCTGGCTTCTGAGGGGCAAAAGTGAAGTCTGCGACTCCGGCTCTCTGCACGGCTTTGCTTTCCTTTTGCTCCTCTTTGGCTGCAAAGCATTCCCTGAAGTGGGACGGGTTTCCTGTTACATAGATAACAATGGATCGTATTCCAGCTCCCAATTCTGTTACTATGTAAATGGTAGTCTTGACTCAATTTTTCACCACAAAGAAACTGGCTTTTTTGTTTTGTTGTTTCCTTTAAATTCCTGGTTTGTCAACTGCTGCCCTCTATGGGCTTTCTTGACTAACTTCTTTAAAAATTTTTAATTATATATTTTTTCATATTCTCCCCCTCCCTCAGATTTTTAATACTGCCCTACCCACTCAACTTCATATTCTTTCTCTTGTCTCAGACAAAAACCTCCAAGCAAACTCAAAACAAACAAAAAAACTAACAAGATGAAAAGTACAAAGTAAAACAAACAAAGCACACAAAAAACATGGAGTCCCTTTACTGGCCAAATTCTCCTGGTTATGGGGTCTTCTCGGAGTGTGGTTGATACACCTAGTGTAGGTCCATTGGAGAAAACCGACTTCGCTGTACTTAATAATCACCATTCTTTCAGCATGAGTCTATGTTTCTAAGCCTTTTACAGCACTCAAGTTCGGCATTTGAGTAGTTTAGCTGTGTAGCTCAGAGGAGGGAGGAGAAGAGAGAGGAGAGGGAAAGAGGGAGGGAGAGGAGGAAATTTAATAGACAGTGTGAAGGGTAAAGGAAAAAGATGTATAAACCACTCAAAACAACTACTAATGTAGAGAAAGAGATACACAATTAGACTCAAAAGATAGATATTCAAACAGTATCACTTATTTTTCCTTTTAGATCCTCACAAAACCACCCTGCAGACAACGGTTCCTGAAAAGATCTCATCACCAGATGTGGAAAATGATCCAGAAAACCATGTAATTTCAAAACCATCTTTATATGCTAGCTCCTGTGAGATTGTGCTCACCATGACCCAAGCTGCTTAGACAGAGGTAGTGGGTAGAGCCCAGGGAAGCTCCGCTGCAGCAGAGCATTGTGGGATAAGAAGGTCAGGGATGGGCACCCCACAGGTGTCAAAAAGGTGGCAAGCAACAGGCTTGTCCTGCGCAGGCTACAATTAGACTGGGATAAGAGGGAACTGATTCTGAGGATGAGGTGAAGCTTGCTGTCTGTTACAGAATGGTGACTGGGAGTATCTGGCTAAGCCAGAAGATACCAGTTTATTAACACCAAGCAAGCTTCTGCCTGCCGCAGGTGCTAAGCCTTGCTCTTAGTTTAGCATCTTGAAGATTCAGAAATCCACATGGGATGGGAAGACAAAAGACCCATGTGTGTTATGTGTATGTGTATATGTATATATTATATATGTATTAATTTTGTCATTTAAAATATGCAGTAATCAAACACATGAAGTAGGATGTGACTGACATTTTAAAAAAATATTCTTGTTACAGATGGCTTATCTTATCACAATAAATGAAAAACCCCATTTCATCCATCTTAAAAAACAGTAAGTAATTATTTTGTCATTCCAAATGTCAAGGTTTTGACTTTTACAAGAGTTATGGTCATAATCATTTCAGTTCAAATGTATTAATGGCTACTGAATGTTGGCCATTAGACAAGATCTTAGACACAAAAAGAGAATCAAACCAGGTATCTAGAGCATTGATAGATCAGGAAGACATATTCCAATGCACCAGCTCTAAGAAGCAGAGTTTTATTAAAATTTGGTGAGAAATGCCTAAGTAGTGTCCTTTGCAAGTCAGGAAGTCCTTTTGGAACAGAGGTAGATTGCAGCTTGAGAAAGGACAGAGATCAAAGACTTTGGAAAAGAAAGTAGAAGGTAAGTTCCAGAAGATGCGTAAGGACAATGTAAAAGCACATGGTGTACACATTATGCTCCCAAGGGTCAAGTGATCAGTGTGAGGGTTGATGAGGGTGAACTGTAACTTACAGCACAAGGAAAAACAGGACTCCACAGGCCTCCAGACAGAATCAGCAGAATAACTGGGAAACAGCGAAGGATCCAGATCCCTTAGCTGCTGCTCAAGAAAGTGGAGAGGATATTGTGTATCTAAATGATGATCATGAACCGGGAAGATATTTACAGGAGAATTGAATACTTTTGTCCAAGTGGGTATTTTCCACTGGAGAGGTGTCCACAAGAATTTGAATCTCTGAGAATGTTCAACAGGTCCATAGACTTAATAGTAAACAGTAGCTGTGCTATTGGTTAGATACATCCACAGAAAGTGCTTATGAACCTTGGGCAAGATCAATACTTTGGTGTCTAGTGGGGTAGTGTGTAGCTAACATGGAAGATGAGCAGGGAGGCAGGACAAGAGGCAGAAGAGAAAGTGTAATGAATCAGAGATTGGGGTGAGTGGGCACTGTTTCAGGTAGGGTGTGGATAATCATGACAGTTCTGATCCGTAATGTGCTTTTCTGAATTTGAAAAACTGATGCTCTCAGACATTTCCCACAGAACCTTAAGGGTGGTTAAGAACCAAGAAAGTGGGAAAGAGATGTGTGCATAGATGGCACTTCTGGTAAACAAATAATCTGTGGACAATTAAAATTGGACAGAGCAGTGTTGGAGCATGACATCAAATGAGAACACCATTGGTCGGTAGTCACTTAAGCACAGCTTTTCTGATGGCACAAGGCAGTCATGGTACTGAGATCACAGGAGAGAAATGGTTCAGAGCCCAGTCATGCACAGGACGGAATCTGGGGCACAGGCACAAGGGCTTTACCTGAAATAATTAAAAAATTTCACCTATTAAGGAGAGAGGTAAGTCAGATTCAGAGGATGTGAAAGTGACTGATAGGGAAGGCAATGGCCAATAGGAATGGTGGCAAACTTTTAAATGTTTACTGGGGTGGGAGATTATGAAAGAAATTTCTGACCATTATTTTTAAGAACTTGGAGAAGGTCTTGATAGTACCTGTCTGTAGACCCAGCATTCAGTTGTGTCTACATAGTTGTGTCAAGGAGGAAGAGGTGGAGGGGGGAAGGAGGAAGAGGAGGAGGAAGATGAAGAGGAGGGGTAACTGGAGGAAGAGGAGGGAGATCTGGAGAAGGAGGAGGGAGAATTGGAGGAGGAGGAAGAGGAGGAGGGGGAAGTAAAGGAGGAAGAGGAGGGGGAACTGGAGGAGGAAGACGAAGAGGACAGAGAACTGGAGGAGGAGGGAGAATTAGAGGAGGAGGAGGAAGAGGAGGAGGAGGATGAGGGAGAAACTGGAGGAGGAGAAGGAGGAGGAGGAGGAAGAAGAAGAGGAGGAAGAGGAGGGAGAACTGGAGGAGGAAGAAGAGGAGGACACAGAACTGGAGGAGGAAGAGGAAGAGGGAGAACTGGAGGAAGAGAAAGGAGGGAGAACTGGAGGAGGAGAAAGTGGAGAAGGAGGGGGAAGTAGAGGAGAAGGAGGGGGTAAGGGGAAGTAGAGGAGAAGGAGGGGGTAAGGGGAAGTAGGGGAGGGGGAAGAGGTAGGGAAGGAAGAGGAGCAGCAATGACTGGGATTTACTGAGCTGACTGAACATAAATTTGTAGTGAGATCAAGAGAATTGTTTAAAATCAGTGTGAATCCCACATTCTAATTTAGAGATTCAAATATAGCATCTGAATTTAATGAACGGCAAAGGCAAAGATTTGAAAAGCCCTGGACGTCGAAGCCTATATTATTTTTCAGCTGAGTTAGCTACCTGTGCATTTTACTATTTTCTGTATTCAAAGGCTAATATCAGTGATGGGGAAAATGTTTGAATAATAGAATATAGCATGCTGAGAGCTGTATTCTATTTGTATATGAAGACTTATCTCTTACATTTCCTCCATTGCAAGTTGTTTTCAGGATATTTTTTTCTTTTGCATAGATCATTTATAATTTCAACTACAGTGGCTTATACTTATGACAGACATGATGTTCAACATTCTCAGTCTTTGTCAGCTCTGGTAAGCCATAAAGTTTTCGTCCATATAGACTTGTTATTTGGGCTTTCTCTTAAAAATGAACAATCTCTAATTACTTTAGTATTATTTGAAACATTGAACTTGGTACTGATACAATTGTATAACCTACTCTGATGTTATTTTCTTCTTAGTACAAAATTATTGGGTAATTGACTATCAGACAAAAGTATTGAGGCAGGGAAATAATAAAATACATATGACCTTTCTTGGATGTATATTTAAGAATGACTTAACCACCGGTTTTCCTTTGTACATTTTTTTTTCCAGAAAGATTGCTTTTACAATGGATATGTTGCAGGTTTTCCAAATTCTATTGTGACCCTCAGTGTTTGCTCAGGACTCAGGTTGTATATTATTTGAAGATATTATCCTAGATAGGTTTCTATTGCTGCAAGATAGACCATGACAAAAAAAAAAAAGCAACTTGGGAGGGAAGAGTATGTTTGATCTCATACTTCTTAGTTAATAAGAAGTAATGGCTTCTATCACTAAGGGAAGTCAGGACAGGCACTTGGAAGCAGGCACTGAAATGATGGTCATGGAGGGATATTGCTTACTTATTTTCCATGACTTGATGTTTGCCCTCTTATGCAACTCTGGGTCACCTGTCCAGGGGTGGTGGTACCACCTGAGGTGGCCTGGGCCCTTTACATCAACCATTAATCAAGAAAATACAAGCTCGCCTAGAGGCCACCTGATGGAGGCACTTTCTCAACTGAAATTTCCCTTCCCCCAAAACTCTAGCCTGTGTTGAACAGACAATAACTGCATCTTACTGTCTTCCGAGTTCGTCTTCTGTATGCCCTTTCTCATTCTGTATCCACCTTTATTTTTCAATCCTCTGAGAAATGAACCCAAATTGCGAATTTGTAAGTCTGTTCCGAGGAGGGGCCGTGTATGGGTCCTTGTGGGACCTAGCACTTGAGAGGCTGTGGGCTGTATTGAGTGTAGGGAGTGGTAATCAATACTTTCACACTTGTCTAGTTCCCACCCAGTGCTGTTTTTGATTTCCTAGAATAAATGGGGATGCTTGAGGGAGATAGCAACTTCTGTCTATTGGCCACCTTAGGCATGCGTTTCTTCAGTTCCCCCACACTTATCATTTATGACCAAGGCATCAGGAAAAAAGAGTCGGGTGCATCATAGATAAGGGACCAGTCTTAGTCAGGGTCTCTCTCTAGTGCTGTGATTTAACACCATGACCAAAATAACTTGGGAAGGAAAGACTTTATTTCATCTTATGGCTTACAAGCTCATTGCACAGGGAAGTCAGGTCAAGAACTCAGAGGCAGTAGCTGATCCAGAGACCAGGTAGGAGGATTGCTCCTCATGGGTTGTTCAGTTCAGTCTGCTGTTTCAGTCTGCTGTCATCTATGATCCAGAACCATGCCCAGGGATGGCATGGCTCCCAGTGGACTGGGCCCTCCCATATAAGTCATCAGTCAAGAGAACGTCCTGCAGGCTTGCTTGCCTACAGGACATTATGATGCAAGCATTTTCTCAATTAAGATCTTTTAAAAGCTACGTCTAAGTTTATGTCAAGTTAACAGTAACCAACCAATACACGACCCAAGACTAAGGAACCTACAGATTCCACATACACACTAGTACAGAAAGCTAATACTAACACAGCAGAGAATCTTAATTGTCGAGGGACATATATCCATGTGTCCACCTGCCCTCTTTAATGTCTATAATAGACAGGCATGTGCATCCCATAGAAAAGTGATGTAGTTCTGGGATAACCTTGACCAAAATACAGGTGAGACAGGCCAACAAAGATGGCTTCAGATGGAAGAAAACCCTGGCTAACCTTTGCCGTTAGAATATTACAGATTTGGCTGAATTATTTTAGTTTTCCTCTAACTGTTCTGTTCTAACACCCAGTGGAACAATACAACTTGAAGATGTCTCCTATGGAATCGAACCCGTGGAAACCCTGTCAGGATTTGTGCACGTGATCTATGAGAACACAAATGAGCAGGTTAAGATTCCTGACTTAGGGGAGAATCAGACGTACCGCTGGTCTGACGACGTAGACCTCCAGATCCGAAGCAACTTGAAAGTCAGTAGTCACTCTTTCTACTTACTTAATATGATTCTGTGAAATGAAAAATGCTTTTCGAAATACACCTTACCGTGGTTTTACTTTTTGAACACTTTTTCCCCTTCTCTGTGTAGCCCTGGCTGTCTTGGAGCTCACTCTGTAGACCAGGCTCGCCTCAAACTCAGAGGGACCTGCCTGCCCCCGGGCCTCCTGAGTGCTGACCTTAAAGGCAGGTGACACCAGGCCTGGCCCAGTATGGTTTTACTTTATACATGAAGGTCCTGTGTCATCTTTTAGTAGCTCATGAATTTAGAGTTGAAATTGGACATGGATCCAGTAAACACTTAGATCATGAATCCCAGAGGCATGGACGTTTGAACACAGACCTGGAACCCCAGAGGCACGGACGTTTGTAACACAGACCTGGAATCCCAGAGGCACGGACGTTTGAACACAGACCTGGAATCCCAGAGGCACGGACGTTTGAACACAGACCTGGAAGTGAAGAGACAACTTTCAATAATTAACAGAGAATATTCATCCGGGTATCCAGGGCATTTGGATGAAAGTATTAATGCTTTCCTTGCCCGTTCAAAAATAGATCATTGCAATGGCTTACACAAGGTCAACTAGAATAATGAACTTTTCCTTGGCAAAGACTCATGAACTGGCGAGGTAGCACATCAGGCTCTGGTGAATACCATCAGCTGCAAACTTCAGGAGCTCTCTGAAATACATGGTTAGCTACATGCAGCTTCCCCACACCTGTTAGCAAAAATATCCTCCTATGTGGAGAGTTTGAGATTGTCAGAAGGGTTAAGAAAAATAAGGCTTTGGTTATAAACCTAGAATGTTATTTAAAATGTTATAAAGATTCCTGACCTGTCATCCCACTTGAGACATCTAACTGAAAGTTCTTGCTAACCATGGCACTTCTGTGCTGGGAGATCCTCTGAGTGATCCCTAAATGTTGTGTCTGCAAACAGGCTTATTACACACAATAGCAGCTATCTTTCAACTTATTTACAAGTATAATTTCAACAGAAGGGAGCATTTAGAAATGTTTCTCAGGACCCATGTCATTGTGTTTTTCAGAGAGCTGAATTTACCACGTTACGGCCACGATTCATTAAGATGGATCTCATCGTGGATAAAAAGCTGGTGTGTCCTATTCTTCTTATGGTCTGTTCATTTTGACCACTTCCTAGATGAGTACAGTATGTCGTGACCGTATCTGCCTTTGTCACCCTGTGCCATCCTCCCTCCACTTCCGTTGACTCCCTTCTTATATCAGTGGCCATGTCTTGCCTGACGGGTCAGTACTGTAGCCTACAGAGTCCCAACAGCGGGGCAAGGCCATTGAAGACATTTCTCTTATGGTTCCTTCTGACCGTGCGGAGACAAGAGAGCAGAGTGTGAGCTTCCGGTTCCATTCCAGCTTGACTCCTCTGTGTCTTGTATCCGGAGTATGTGCCCCTTTCAGTTATAGAGTTTTAGTTCCGATTTCTTACGGGCACTCATCTGTATTGTTTTGAGAACCTTTGGCATCAGAGGTATCCAGCACACGGCACTGGGGTTTTCCTTTAAAAACCTATTGCTACCAGGAGCAGCCTTATCCGCATTAGCAGGTTACCTCTGTTCACTCCTTCTCACGTGATGATGTTCAGTTAGTTTATAACTTAGGAGCTTTCTATGCGCTTTTAGTTGGGTTGCCTCTCTCCTCCCCTACCGATCCTCTATCCATTTGTATGTATCGATTTCTAGTATTTCTCCCTTCTGTTGTCAATACCATATGTGTTTGGCTCTCACCCCACCCCCCGCCCCACCCCCAGCCCCAGCCCCACCCCCAGCCCCACCCCCAGCCCCAGCCCCAGCCCCAGCCCAGGGCTTCTTTTGTGGATCCCCGGCCCACAGCTCCTCTCCTGTTTCTTGTCCTCTATCAACGCAAATCCCAGCAACCGATGAGTATTGATGCCACTTCATATGGCTTTACTGCTACTAGCCCTGCTGGTGTTTTGCCTGGCTTCTTTGGCTACCGTGAATGTGGGCTGTTGTGCACAGCCGTTGACACTGGTCCCTCTGTGGAGCCAGTTCGGCTGAAGCCACCATGGTGCCATTTGCTCCTGGTCTACAATGTATTAAGTGATGTTAAAACTCATGTCACTTGACATTTTAATTATTTACTTAGCATTAGTGATTTTTCTGGATTTCAATCAGAATGTGGTCTTATTGCTTACTCAGAGGTCAGGTACATGTGTATGTTTGAGGGCATGTGCTTGTCTGTTTAGAACCATTCATATTTCAAAAAAAAATTTTTTTTTTCAGTTTGATTACATGGGGTCTGACACTAAAGTTGTGCTACAGAAAGTCATTCAGGTCATCGGTTTTATAAACACCGTGAGTTTTCAAAAGCAAGTTTTTTTACATAATTTATAAATGTAAATATATATATATGAATTAATGTGTGTCATGTTTTGCTAAGCTCCTGAAATCTCTGTGTAACCCAAAAAGAACCATGCTAAATATGTTTTTAGGGGTTTCAAGTGATGCTCAGAATTAGATACAAGTTCTCCTTTCTCTTTTTAGATGCTCTCCAAGTTAAAACTGACTGTTGTAATAAATTCCATTGAAATCTGGTCGAAGGAAAACAGAATTAATTTCTCAGAAGTGCCTGATAAATTATTGGTTCAGTTTTTACATTGGAAACGTAAGCATAGACCAGAAAACATTACATACTTGCTGGCGTAAGTACATCATTCTGTATCTCCTAACGTTGAAGGAATAATGCGAATGACGTATTCATTTTGAAAGATACACGTTTGCTTTGCATGTATTGGTTTTGAATTTCTCTGATATCGTAGATATGAAAAATGGAAGCTGTGAAGTCTCCCTCCCTTAGAAGGGATGTGAGGCAAAATGAACACAGTTTTATTAAAGAGCACAGAAGTGCCAAGGTGTGTGCTGTGTAGCCATGTGCTGGAGCTGCTTGTGGCTTCGTCCCAGACACAGTGCCTCCGCTTTCCCAGCATGACCGCACAAATGGTTTTTGTCACAAGAAATTAGAAGTTAGAAATCTGTGAAGATGAATCCAACCAATTTGGCTTACAAATGTCTGATGCCTGTTATCAAATCTCGACAGTCTCGGTTTCTTATATAATTACTCACCTAGTTAATAATTTCATTTTCTAATAAAGATGGACTGACTCTTAGTGATAAATGAATAGCAGGTCCTAAAAGTTGAAGTTGTAGGGATTTCTAGCTAGATACGCAAAATTTGGTACACCCACATACACGCATACAGAATATGTGGAACCAGATTGAAAAATCACCATTACTGGGGCATTAAAATATTCTTCATAGAGAAGCCTTGGGAAGTTTGTTTGTTTATGTTGCATATTTTATTTATTTACAGTTCAGATGTTATCCTCTTTCCTCATTGCTACCCCCCCAGAAGCTCCCTATCCCATCCCCCTCCTCCTATTTCTGTGAGTGTGTGCCCCCAACTACCCACCCACTCCCACCTCCCCACCCTTGAATTCTCCCACACTGGGGCATCCAGCCTTCATGGGACCAAGGACCTTCTTTCCCACCTATGCCCTACAAGGCCATCCTCCATTACATATACAGCTGGAGCCATGGGTCCCTCCCTGTGTGCTCCCAGGCTGGTGGTTTAGACCCTGGGAGCTCTGGTTGGTTGGTATTGTTGCTCTTCCCATGAGGCCTCAGACCCTTTCAGCTCCTTCTGACTCCTCCATTGGGAACCCCATGATCAGTTCAGTGGTTAGCTGGGAGCATCTGCCTCTGTGTATGTCAGGCTCTGGCAAAGCCTCTCAGGAGACAGCTATGTCAGGCTGCTATCAGTATGCATGGGAAGTGTATTTAAATAGGACAACCCTGTAGCAGCATAGAACTTAGGCTATAGTAAATGTTTGGTGATAGTTGATCCTATGAAAAAAATTGACATTACTAACACTGCTTTTCAATCTACCCATGATCCTTGTACAGATTTGAGGAGCACCCTGCTTCCACAGGAGCCCTATATCCAGGGGATCTGTGCAAATTTGATTTCAATGCTGCTGTTGCTCTGGTATGCAATTGCTATCTCCCCTGCCCCCTCTCTTTCTTCATGTTTTGAAAATGGCTAAGTATTTTATAGGAGAAACTCTTTTATTTATCTGCTTGTCTGTGTATTTACTCTCTTATTTATTTGTATTTATATATTTATTTTTCTCTCACATAATCCATCCTTTTCCCCCTCCACTACCCCCACCCCCCATTTTCTGCCCCTCCCCAGACCCACTTCCCAGGCTCCCACCTCTCCAAGCCCACAACTCTTGTCCCTTCTCCCCACTGGAGGAAAGAGCAGATCTCCCGGGTACATCAACTGAGTGCAGCATAGCAAGTTACAAGATGAGGCACAGACCCTTACACTGAGGTTTGGGCGAGGGAACCCACTATGAAGAAGGGATCTCAAGAACAGGGTTCCCCACCAAAACACCAAGCCAACAATCACAGGGTTTATATAGAGGACCTAGCACAGACCCACGCAGGCTCTGTGATTGCTGCTTCTGAGCCCCTATGAGCCCTGCTGAGTTGATTCTGTGGGCCATGTTCTCCTGGCGTCTTCCATCCCTCTGGCTCTGACAGTTCCTCCCCCCTCTCTTCTGCAGGGTTCCCCAAGCTCTGAGGGGAGGATTCAGATGGAGACCTCCAACCTGGGCTTAAAACAACTTGAACTGTATACCACCGCTTTAAAAAACGAACCGCTGTTTGCCTTGGCACATTTAACATTTTGTTTGTTTGCTTTTTGATTTTGTTTTCCCGAAACAGGATTTCTCTGTGTAGTCTGGCTGCTTTGGAAATCAATCTGTACACCAGGCTAGGCTTGAAGTCAGCGATCTGCCTGCCTCTGGGCCCCCAGAGTGCGGGGCCTAAAGGGCGCCACTGCCTCCTGGCTTTTGACTTGCTAAATTTTTAAGTGCTTATTGTTTGCATTTGTCTGTCTTTCAATTCTTTGCTGAATTTCTTTTTTTTTTTATTCACCTTCTAGATCCATTATAGAAATAGGAGGTACGACAGCTCCTCCTTTATTTTTGAAATAGCTGTTAATTTTCATTAAGTGTTCTTTTTTTTTAAATCATCAATGAAGCTATTTAAAGAAATTTCCCTTGTTGGAAAGTTTTAAAGAAATCAATTTGTCTTTCAGTTATCAGTGATTTAATTCATTGTGTTGTGTAGGCGATGGCCCATTCTTCTTGAAAGGTGGTGTCAATTTCATATGTTCAGTCAAGTCGCTCCGAATATTCTTCTCCCCCTGGGGGGAGGAGCTGTCTAGATGCTTTCCTCCACGCTGGCCTTACCTTTCAGGTGTGTTTTTCTAGCGCTTATTGTTAGTTCTTTTCATTTTTAAAGTGACTAAAATATGATTGGCTTATTCTATTAATGTTTGACTTTCTTGAATTTATTATTACTTTGTTGGTTCTCATTTTGTATTTTACATTTCTAATTTCTAAAGCGGAAACTTTGATGATGAGTTTGTCTGAAGGCATTAAAAGCTACAAATGAACATTTTATGTCAACTTAGATATACCTCAGATGTTTTGCTGCTTCATAATTAAGTCCACAGTATTTTTTTTTTTAATTCCCTAAACACAGCTTCTGTGTGAACAATCCCTGTCTGTCTGAGCATGCCTTAACTCTGGTTCTTGATTATAGGCTCATTTTCTGAAACATTCTGGATTGTAAGCCCTGGGGCTTATTCTCTAGAATGTATTTTGGATCCTAACTTCCTGGCAGTGACTTTTTTTTTTTTTTAATGTCTTACTTTACAGGAGGTTTTCTGTGTATCTTTCTTAGGTAAATTTTTTGGGGAGAGTAATTTCTCCTTTAGCAGAAGGATGGAACCTTCTTTCCTTCTTTGTATCTGAGCATTTCCATGAAGGAGTCTCTTTTCTCTTCCTCAGATGTGGAAGAATGTGGCACCCACCTTTTGCTTTTATCTTTTATCTATCTTCTTTCCCTAATTCACAGACGGGGTACCATGCCTTTCTTTTCTGTGATTTGACTTAATGTCTTTATTTTGATTGGCAGATGGTTTCTGATGTCGGTGGGGGGAGACTATGCAGGATCTGTGAGGGCTTTGGAATGTCTGAGATTTTAGACCCAGAATCTGTATTTTTAAAATTTTTTTTTTTTTTTTGTCTGTTAGTACTTTTGGCCACTGCACTAGGTATGACTGAACATTGTGGTTTTGGCTTTGCTTCCCCAATGAATGGTCTCGCGGAGGGCCTCACACTATTGGTTACTCGTGTGCGTTAAATGTCAGTTTGGCTCTCGGCACATCTACATTTTTGTCATATTAATCAATTCTTTCATTGAGTTATGAGAGCTCTTTATACACTGGACAGTAACAGTTCAGCAGATACATACTTTTCAAACTTCTTTCCTACAGGCTGCCTTTTAATTTGTTGATTGCTTCATTTGCCATTAAAAAAAAAAAAGGGCATCCTTCTTTTTCTTTTGCTTGGTTCCCTGAGCTTTTGGCATCTTAATCGAGAAAAACTCATGAAAGTCAAAGTCAAAAAACCTTCACACTTGAGAATCCAGGATGCTATTGTTAGGTCTGTAATCCATTTTCCGTTAGCTTTTGTGAATGATGGATAGCTCCAGGATTCACAACACTCTTCACTAAAGACTCTCTGCCCTTTCTCACTGTGATACTCTGCCATTCTTGAAAAAAAAAAAAAACTTATGCTTATGTGCATGGTTTCACATGGGAACCTTTTTCTAAGTTCTGTTGGTCTATGTGTTTGGTTTTGAATAAATACCATATAGCCTTGAATTATAGTTTGAATTAAATAAATAATGGTGGTAGGCATCTTGTTCCTCATGCTCTAATAAGCTGTGGCTGGTGGGTCTTCTGCAATAGTGTATAGATTTTAGAATTTTTTCTTACTTATGTGTAGAATATACCTGAGATTAAGAAACTGCATGACTTTCGATAAAGCAGATATTTTAGCCATTTGCGTTCTTCTAACAGCTGACAGCTTTGTGATTGTTTGTGTCGTCTTTAGTTAGCTCTTTTCCTCAGCATCTTGGGGAGTACGGAGCCTCTGACTGAGTGTTTCATGTTGGTTCTGTGCCGCGGGCAGCCTCCTGCACAGTGTTTGTGTTTTCGCTGCTGTGTCATTACTGTAAATGGTACTAAGTTGTATGTGTTAGTTTCAGTTGCTTCAAGATCACTGTATTTGTGTACCTTAACACCCTATAGTAAATCGTGTAAGTTCTCTCTCTCTCCCTCTCTCTCTCTTTCTTCCTTTCTTTCTTTCTTTCTCTGTCTGCCCTTGCTTGGCTTTCATTGTTGCGCACTGAAGGGGGCAGCGAGAGCAGGAATCCCTTCCTTGTAACAAATCCTTGAGACTAAGCTCTGTTTAGGATCTCAACAGCATAGACATGGGTGTTTTGTTGATTAAGAGACTTAACTCTCTCACCCTTTGTTCTGCCCTCACCGATTCAAGCTGGACACCACAGCTAGCACACAGGATACATAAGAACTCATGATTAAATCTAAAACACTTAAAGTTGTAATGCTCACTTGAAAAACACGTGAGGGTGGTTCAGTGTTTTTCAAATTAACAAAGAACACCTTCTGTAGCTGTCGTTGCTTTCAAAAATTCAAGTTCAGGGACCTGGCAGCTATCACACTGCAGAAAACACATTTCCAACTTCATACACAGAGGCTGCCCCAAATGTCCCCCTCCTTCCCTCCTTCCCTCCTTCCTTCCTTCCCTCCTTCCGTCCTTCCTTTCCTCCCTCCCGCCCTCCGTCCCTCTCTCCCTCTTTGTCCTCTCTCCCTCTCTGTCCTCTTTCCCTCTCTAGCCACCATTTCCTTCTAATGGTCAAAGATAGAGAATCCAAGAAGGTAGTCTTTCCATGAGCTATTCATAAATGACTCAATCCAATCTGCTGGGTTGGATGAATCCGAGGTAGTCAAGGCTAGCCCCCTCTTAACAGAATGACATCATAAAGGTTGTCATAGAAATCTGGGTTATTGGGACCCATTAAGGAATACAGATTTCATTATTAAATACAAGATTAAAGGCACTGGGTTAAAGGCAACCCAAAGAAGTCACTGAAATGAGATGCTTTTCATGGGTTGAGCTTTGAGGAGGTGGCTTGTGCTGTCATTTAGTTCATGGCATTCTGAAGTAAGACTATATCGAGTCACCTGTGTTCAACAAGCCCATAGTCAAAACATCTATAGATTTCTACTACAGTTACATCCATGTGGGTATCTGTCTTGAAAGTGTTAACAGATTATTTTTCACTGCAGCAAATGTTGCTAACCCTTTTTCCTTCTGCTCCTGTTTAGTACCCGAAAGGTTTATCGTTGGAATCATATAGTGTCATTGTCCTGCAGCTGCTAAGTATCAGTATGGGCTTGACTTACGACACTGACAACTGCTACTGTACAGGAGATGTTTGCCTAATGACGCCCAAAGCCATGTAAGACAGCCGTCTTTATCAAACACACTCATCCCCCTTTGCTTTTGGACGGTTATTTCTGTTAACTGAATCGAAGTAAATTGATGATGGTATATATTTTTTTGATATTCCACACCCTTCCCAGTAACGAACACGTGGATGCTAAATGCTTGGCGCCCCCACCTGAGCTTATCGGCTGCCTTTTTTCTCTCAGTGTCTATTTTCCTATTTTTGGTATGTAATATTAGCACATCATTGTGATGCATGTTATGAAATTTCGATTCATGAATATATCATATGTTGATCAGCTCTGAATAATGGGCATATCTATCTATAGCTTTACGTTCTATTTCTTTAGTGCATTGACATTCAAAGCTGCCCTAACTGGTTTTGTGATAAATAATGTGTTGATGTTAACTATAATCACCCTGCTGTACATGAAAGGAAAGCCTACTTCCTCCATCAGTCTGTGATAGGAACTCATTGTCTGACCTCTCCCTCTTCTCCCTGCTTTCCCTGATGTCTGGCAACCACTATTCCGCTGCCAACTTTCCTGGGCTTAGTATTTTACATGCTACTTTCGAGTGGGGGTGTTGTGCTATTTTAAATTCCTGTACCTAAATCCTAAGTTCTTCCACTTAACGTAGTGTGCCCTGAGTCCGCCCGTGTCGGAGCAAAAGAGAAGGGTGGTACACATTTTATGGCAAATAAATAATAGTTGCGAGCAGACACATTTTAGCTACTCATTTTGTGATGAACATTTGGGTTGATCCCACATCATGGCATTTGTGAGGACTGGCGAGGGAACAATTTGACCCTGGGTTTCCCTTAGACATCTGATCCATCTCCCTTGTCTACATACACAGCAGGCTCTCTGGAGCTCTCTGTGGTCCATTCCCCCCACCCTCCCCCACCCTCCCACTTTTGAGGCAGTATCATACACTGTGTGCAAAATAACTATATTTTACATTTCTGTAAAATAACTATAGTTTACATTTCTGTCACAGTAGTTAGGCAGTGTGGTAATTGCTTTCTCTCACCACTTTGCTGTTTTCCATTTGACTCTGGGGAGGAGAAAGCCTATGCCAGCTGCCTTTCCCTATAGTTCTAAAGTCATGGATCCCAAGTATATAGAATAGAAAATGCCCAGGCCCTATGTGGTTCTTTCAGTCCTGGGAGTTGGTTTCTAGTAACTTAGATCTTGGCTTTGCAGACTCACCTCTCACTTCATTTTATGATGTGTATAACTTATACTCAGTGAGGAAGACACAAGAATGAGAAATGCCATTTGCCACACCATCTCGAAAATGTTCAACATTTCAAAGTTTGTATATAGCAAAAGTATAAGATAGAATTAAATCCCTTAAAAATATTCAGAAATTAAGGCTGAATATTTGAATATCAATTATCTGGCCTTAGTGAGAGAATCATAAATAGCAGTTCCAGTGCTTAAAGATTCCAAACTTCAAGGAGAATACATGCACAAATACACACACTCTGCACATGCTCAGTCTACACACACACAGACACACACAGAGAGAGAGAGAGAGAGAGAGAGAGAGAGAGAGAAGTAAGAGACCTTAGCATCTAGATGTTGATATCTAGGTAGTGGAAGTTAAGAACCCCGGGTCAGCACATTATGTGTATTGAGGGAATACCTGTACCAACTTCTGTGTAAGCACAGCATGGGACAAATTTGTTTTTTGAGTTGTATCATTGGTTTTCACTTTTTTTTCTCTGTAGAATTATAAAAGCATGAGTAAGCACCATAGCAATCTCAAGACTGTGTTTAAAAGTGTGCTTAGCATTGCCTGGAAAGGATAGTGCTCTCAAAATCCTTCCCCAAACCACTCCGCTATGGGAACTGCAATACCAAGCAGCAGCTTTGATCATGTGCACATTGTTACGTTCTAGATATTCTGGGGGTATGAAGGATTTCAGTACTTGTAGCTTGGATGACTTTAAATACCTCTCAACAAGACAAGACCTTGGATGTCTCCGGGACTTCCCTTTGGAAAGAAACCGACCCCCACAAAGAAAGCCAAGGAGAATCTGTGGCAACGGGTTGCTGGAGTTGAATGAACAATGTGATTGTGGCACTTTGAAGGTGGGTGGTCCTTTTTCCTCCCTGCCCCCCACCCCTCTTCAGTTTTTATCCGCAGTGCTAAGAAAACCAGAAGGGACTTTATCTTTTATTAAAGTAGATTGGAAGTAGACTCCCCCAACCCCTTTCCTTCCCTCCCTGAGCTACGTGACACTGAAAGCTTCATCTCCTAATGCTCCATTTGGAGGTTAGCACATTGGTTCTCTGACTGAGAACTGCCCGTAAGCCCTGCCCTTTGACATTGGTTATTGTTCCGGTCTGCTGAGAAATGACTATAAAACTGTGTTAACTGTCAACAGGATTTTCCCTTCACAAGTATGTGTTCCTGACTAATATACAAGAAGATCATTCTGTGGACAACTGTTCTCAGTTAAAACATTCCAAATAAAACCTGTAGAAGATATAACATACAAAAACAAGACCAAAGTAAGCGACAGCTGAAAAAAAAATGATAGAGAGACCCGAGCAGGCTTGTTGCTTGTTAGAGGAAGGCTTGGAAAGGAAAGATCTCACGGAACAGTGTCTTTATCAGGCCCAGAACACACCAGCAGGGATCCTGGTCTTCCTGTTCTCACAAACATTCTGCCATCTCTTTAACAGTGTTTCCTGAATCTTAGGTGTAGGAGTTACTTTGCAAACGTACCAACCAGGGCTGGGTAACCCAAGTTCACTCCATCTCTGTGTGTTAACCAGTTGTCTTTAATAGCCCCTACCTACTCCCTCGGAAGTTAGCTAATCACTAGTGGCCAAGCCTAAACACATTACACATGAGCAACACAGAATGGACTCACAATATGTTGTATCTACATAAACTTGTGATTTGTAGTAATTGTAGAAGAGGTCATGAAATTGAGAGCCAGTTAGAGAGAACACAGAAGGAGTTAGAAAGGGGAGAGAGGAACGGAAATGATGTAAATACAGAATTTATGTAGAAAATATACCACCCCCACTCATAAACACACAAACACACACACACACACACACACACACACACACACACACAAAACCATACAAACAACTTTTCAACCAAGACAACCAGAGATGACAGAGTACTACCAGAAACTCTGTAGAGACCAGAGGCTCAGTCTGATGACAGAGCTACCCTAAGAAATTGCTTGTCTATGATGCCACCTCCAAGGTGAGCAGGGGCCTCCCAGTGCTGACGACACCTACCACCTTGGTTTCAAATGTCCCCCACACTCCACAGATGCAGATGGTGATCTGCTCACTACCATCCAAGCTGTTACTACTATGTGGTGCTATCTTCAGATCACTTTCATCTCTGTGACCCTACCATTATTGAGCTACACTCACGGGTGTTTTACATTTATCCACATTCGCCTGCTGTGGCTTCCTGCCTCTGGGGACAGGCTTCTTAGGAAGTACGCTCTACCTTGCTTCTCCACATGCTACTTTGCCTTGTGATCAGCACCCCAGAATCTAGGAGGAAAAGAAGCAGCCATGTTCTCTGGTACCTGAACTGATATGGTATCCTTTCCGTGAGGATAGCAAGATGATGATGATGATGATGATGATGATGATGATGATGATTGTTCTTATTATTAGAGTAGTCACCTTGTCATGTGGGGTGAGCAGCCACTGTGCCCAGCCTTCTTGTGTGCAAGCTAGTCTTCTGAAACCTGAGATGTTTCACCTCCCTGGAAAGCAGAGTTCCCAACTCTCCCAACCAACTATAGGCCAGTCTATAGTTACATTTTGTCATTCCTGAGTACTTTGGGCACTACTCAGGGCTGCAGAACCTGATCCGCTGTTTGCCACCCTTATGAAGGTCTCATCATCACACAGTGCTCCAGTTGCTTTGTGGTCTGGATTATTCCCATGCTCTTTCTCTTGGTGCCCATGAGTCTGAAATGTCCATTCCTTTCCACATGGACCAGAATTGCCACACTGTTCTTGCACTCGGGGGCAACCTACTAAGTGGAGTTTTGGAGTTTTGTTACAGTGTTATGAAAAGTGAGAGAGTCATATCACCCACGCCTAAGAGACGACTCCAGCCTGGAGCTTCAGCCACAGATCAGGTTAAACAAAAGAAAGAACCTTTGAATTTGAGGATAGGTCTTTTGAAATAATCAAGTCAGAGGGTGTGGGAAGGAAAAGAAAATGGAGGGGGGTAAAGAAAGACCATGGAGCTCATATGAGACCATTAAGTGCAGAAATTCTTACTATGGAACTTCCCCAAAGAACAAACATAAAACAATTATAAAACACACATTTTAAGAAAAAACCCAGTAACTTAAAACTCCCCGATTTGGGGGGAAGATTGATGAGTCCTAACACTTTCTCAAATAATTTATCCCAGTGGTTCTCAACCTCTGTAATGCTGAGACCTTTTAATACAGTTCCTTATGTGGTATTGAACCCCGCCCCCCGCCAACTTAAAATTATTTCATTGCTACTTCATAGCTGTAATTTTGCTACTGTTATGAATCATAATGTAAATATCTGATATGTGATCCCCATGGAGGTTCCCATGCTCAGGTTTAGACCATCAGATGGGTTTAACCTAGTGGGATCTCCACCCAAACTGTTAAAAGTAGAAGATAATTTTTAAGCAAATTGACATACAAATGAATCATTATGGGGCTCTGAGTGGTTCTTTTTTAAATGTAGAAACATTTTAGGGCAAGAGAGACTGGAGTTACATATACAGAGTGCTGAGAGAAGTCAGGAAAGAAACCTGTGTTTCTAGAAGCTCGTGTTTAGGGAGGGTACATCTTAGACACAAAGAACTAAGTTCCGAGACAAGTAGAAACTGAGGAGTTCATCGCCACGTACTTCTAATAAAATCTTGGTAGAGTTTTTCAGCCATAAATAATAACCAGTCATATTTTGCCGACAGGATATTGATTTGATATTGACGAATACATATATACTACCAACAAGCAAGAAAGAGCAGAGATAACAATACATATCCCTAAAAGGAGAGCAAGTCCAAAGCTTTGTCACAAGAAACTTACATGTCAAATCACCAAGGGTATTCAACGGTTTATAAGCGTGCATTCAGCTAACACTAGAGCAGCTGCACACACAAACACATTCAAGTACATATGGAGGTAGAAATTTATAACAATACAGTGGCAGACTTCAGTATTCCACTTTCAAAGGTCAGAAAATTATTAAGGAAATAAGTAACAAAGTTTACTCAAACTTCACTTTAGACCATATATGTATATAACACACACCACACACACACACACACACACACAAACACCACACACATCTTCCTACCTAGAGGCAGTATAATATGTATTCTTATCTTGTATATGTGAACCAACTATAATGTTAAACTGTCATAGCAGTTTCCCAATACGAATCTTGGAAAATTAACAAATGTACAGAAAGGAAGCGCATGCCCTGGAGCCACTAATGGGTTGATGATGAAATAAATAAATAAATAAGAAAATATCTTGAGGTGAATGAGAGCAGAGATTGAAAACTCCTCAAGACCTCTCAGATGCAGCAAGAGCAGTTCCAAGGGGTGGGGAGACCATTATTAATATTTAATAATCGGTCTGATTCACCACAGTAAAAGAAATAATACATTGTATGACCCCAACACATAACTTGAAAATGCTAGACAAGATAAAACATTCATGTATGAGTCCTCGGGGGCAGCACCACAGTTAGATGCTTCTGTGATGATGACAATGTCTGTTGATCTACCCATGACCCAAGTGACTGACCACATAGGGATGCAGAATTAACAACAATATTAACTCCATGTGCCTCTGGTGAATTTGAATCATTCCAAGTGGCTAGCTAATATTCTCCTGGTAGGGCAGCTCTAGAGTTTTCAGTCTGATTCCTTCCTGAGGAACCAAAATAGAGGAGCCAAGCAAACGTCCAAATGCAGCATGCTCTCAGACCTCAGGCTCCTAAGCAGAGCCAAGCCTCTTCATTGTTGTGATTTGCACATAAATAGTGCCAACAAATGAAGCTTGACCTAAAAGCCAGAGTATAGAATTGTTTAGAGAGAGTGGTTGTTACTAAGAGATCAAGAAATGATTTCCCTGGGTGGTTTCATGGTAGTCCTTGTTAAACTGCACTGAATAGAGAGAAACTTGCTTTTACAAACTGTTGAATGAGAGAGTTCCATGCCCTCCCTGGAGAATGGACTATTAAAACTATAAATGGAAGAAAAAAAAAGATGACATGGTATGTAAGATCACGTGCTCCAGCTTTGTTTGATGTGGCACAGCCACATGTGGGCTAAGCAAGACTTTGTCTTTCTTTGCAGAACTGTACACACAAAAAATGCTGTGACCCCATGTCATGCCGATTGAAGCCCAATGCCACATGTGGCTCCGGGGAGTGCTGTGCTCAAAACTGCAAGGTAAGAAGGAGTTTGCATTTGAAAACAACCCAGAACTTATCTCCTTGAGATCAAACACACAGTTCGGAGAGATGGCAAGCAATGGCATCACTCTTAACTGGTAATTTTGACACACTTGTGCAAGCGACTGTCTCCCTTCCACACTTGGCCCATTTGGTGACCTGTCACTCCCGTGCTCTCGTGAACATTTGTCTCCTGTTCCTTCTCTCCTAACTTGGCTTTCTGACGTTTCCTCTGTGACATCAACATATGGCTCCGCCAGTTTTTCCTCATTCTTCTTTTTTTCTGTGTATAGCTTGTAAGAGGGCAAGCAGTCAGCCAGGTTCTTTGTCCAGGTTAAACTCAGTTTATTGTCTTCTGGGAAAGTCCCTCGCTCGGCCGCACCTACCCAGGGAATGCTGTCGCTGTCCACTTTCTTATCGTTCAGATGATTTATGGCGGGGCTCCGCGAACGTTTACATCTTAAGAAAAAAAAGATGATCAAAGTACACAGCATAAATCAAAAGATCGCAGCAAGGTGTGCTTTGACACCAGTGAGTGTGGGGTTGTGTTAGTTATGGTTATTTAGAGAAATAGTAATGTGTGTGCGCACGCACACCCCCCCCCCAGCTTGTGTTTAATCACCACTAGCTACAAGCTAGAGTTATCTAAAAGAAAGGAAGCTCAATTGAGAGAACGCCTCCATAAGATCTGGCTGTAGGACATTTTCTTACTAGTGATTTGACGGGTTAAGACCCCATTTGACCCAGGTTTCAGACTATAGTAATACCTGCTTTAAGTAAAACATATAACACCCCTCCCCCCAAAAATACTTACAAAACTTTCATCAAAGGCAAGAAGATAGTTATACAATACTAAAGAATATGATTCATCAAAAGGATATAAAAGGCACTAGAGAAAGACAGACCCATTCAAAATCAAGAAGGACTAAGACTTCTACACTTAGCAGTAGTTCAATCACATTGCTGAGATGCTGCATAGGACAAATTTAACTATGATGTCCTTCCATGTAAGAGAAGCCACCCCCCTCCCACCAAGTCCTCTGACAACAGGTACAGCCTCTGTCAATTGAAAGGTCATGACAGAGCTTGATCTGGGGTGTCATCCAGGACAACCACTGGGAGAGCAGAGAGCTGAAATCTGCATGTTTAGAGGTTGGAGTCTTGGAAAATCAACTCTAAAACTCGCACAGTGAAATGAGTAGCACCCTTCTTTGGGGATCTGGAGAAACTGCAGCAAGTGCTCTTGTAGGCTCTGTGTACAAGCTGCAGCACTCCCCACAGGAGCACAGGCCCTGACCCTCCTGCTGTCTACTGAAAAGAGTAAGCATTCTCATTTAAAGAAAGAAAGAAATTAAATTTAAAAAGAACTTCAACACGGTTGTCTCCTTCTTTTACTCCTCCTCCTCCCCTTCCTCCTCTTCCTCCTCCTCTCCTCCTCCTCCTCCTCCTCTCCTCCTCCCCTCCTCCTCTCCTCCTCCCCTCCTCCTCCTCCTCCTCCTCTCCTCCTCCCCTCCTCCTCCTCCTCTCCTCCTCTCCTCCTCCTCCTCTCCTCCTCCACTCCTCCTCCTCCTCTCCTCCTCCTCTCCTCCTCCACCTCTCCTCCTCCTCTCCTCCTCCT